TTGACGCATTGTGCATTAAATAAAGTCCACTCAGAATATTTGGTTTTATGTTTTATTATGTTTTGACCTAATGTCTGTGTTCTTTGTACTGCTCAAATAGGGAACATGCTATACTTTATCAGACAAGGTAGTCTTGGAGCTTGGAGGGACCCTCACGCATCCAGTACCAAATGTATTCAGGTTTTTTCATCTTGGCCTTGATCCACGGTGCYGGATAATACTTTTCCGAATTGCCTGCAAAGATGGAGTTAGTTGTTTAACAGAATCTATCGAGAAATTACTAACTCATATATGTATTGATCGACTAATAATCTTAAAAATTTGTCAAATCAAAAATCGATTTAAAACAAAGAGCTAATGGATCGATTGTACAATCAAGTTCGTGATGCTAGTGAAGGAATAAGGTAGTCAATCCATAAATTCATCAATCCATCAATCAATGAAGTAGACTGAGCCAATCAAGCTATCTAACAGTATATATGAATCGCTCAATCAATCAATCAATCAATCACAATCCTTGTCCAATGAATCAGTACTTTTGATTGTCGATAAAATTATGAAGAAACAAATACTTTACGAGTTGCCTTCCTTCCAGAAAAACACAATTACGTATAAATCAATTCACCTTTCACAATCACCATCTCATCAGTCAAAGTCATCCTTTCACAATCACGTATAAATCATTTTACCTGTGACTGAACCAAAACCATTTTTCTTAGCCGTTGTAAGCGAAGCTCCAGAAATCCAAGGCATTCTCTCATCTATTCCCTGGGCACTGTACTCCCAGTCATCGAACTTCTTTAGAAGTCGAACATTGATTTGCTTGTTGTCTTTGGCTGTGAAGGTATATTGGCGATCAGCCTCCCAAATACCGCCCCAACGACCTGACAATAGAAAATGTTTAACCAGACATTCTGTCCAAAATTTCCTAATAGCTAGCGATTGATAATATACCACGACCTAGCAACAAGGGACCACTGCTTTTCCGTAGTGTACGACAGATTTCAGTGCAGTCGAAACTTTCCTATCGTACTTTCTCCGACTAAAACAAGTTGATAATAAGTTTCAAATTATAGATGTAATAGTACGAACGCTCTGATTGGTCCGAGAGTTTGATTAATTTCGCGGTAAAAAACGCCAAAATCACTTGCTGTGCTCGTGGCTTTTTAGGCATGCTTTATTTCATCGATAAACATAAGACAATCAACTCTTTATTTCTTAAATAACACTMACCTGGTCTGTTAGCCTCCAGACGATACTCAAATGTTGATCCTTGGACTTTCTGATTATCTTTGATAACATCAGCATATTTCAGTATGGAGTAGTCATCAGTCAAGCTCGGCTTTCCAGCATTTCTAAACGTCACGTCATCCTCAGTCCATGTATTTGTTGCACTAGAAACCAATAGTGTCCATCCACCTCCATCACGTGACATGTCACAATACGTTTTGATTGGAGGATTTAAGGGGCCTTCAGGATAGATATTGTACAATCCGTCGGGGAAAAGCTGGTTGTTTGAGGTGGCGATGAACTGAAGATGTCGACAAGAATTGGCTTCTGCAGATGTATAACAATATTAAACTTTAGTGAGTCACTGGAAAAAATCGAGCTCCTTGAAGGTTGTTAATTTAATGGATATATGATGAAGGATCAATCTATAATAATTATAAAGGTTGTAAATATCCTGTAAGTGTCCAAAATTATGAAAATATCGTGTAAATTTGGATTTTAATTTACGTAATATTTCCATTAAACTTACATCGTTTGTAAAAAGTGTATAAATGTGATGTAAATTAAGTTTTCAATGTAGAGTCAGTTTCGTATGAGTGGGACACGTACGGTACTGTACTGTAACCGTAATCGTACTGTAAGCAAATTCTAGTGCTCCATTGGTTCACCAAAATTGTGCAGGCCAGGTCCGGTAACTGTGCGGTAACCGTGCGGTAACGGTGTCCCACTCATACGAAATCCGCTCTATGTAAAAAGTCTACTTCACGGTTACCTGCGCCATCTTGAAAGGTAGCCGTTCCTTAACATCGAAGCGAGACAGCCATTGAGCGTGCAATGATAGATACCTGTAAATAATTGTCTGTAGGTGTGAAAGAARGTTTCTATCATTGCAACGGTCTTCTCGCTTCGATGCAAAGGCACGGCTTCCTTTCAAGATGTCACAGGAACCGTGAAGAAGACAATTACATTAACTAATTACTTGGACAAGCATCTTTGTTACACTCCTGTTCTTCTTGCAGTTTTCCTTGGCAGTCCTTCCCGCCATACATTGGGAATGGGTTGTTACAGAATCGATGCCGAGTTTGTTTCCCGCCATTGCAACCGGCAGTACACTTGGACCAATCAGACCAACTACTGAAGCCACCATTTTGAGGGACCAGATCTGTAAAAATAGATAATAATGTTATGACAATCGAAATTTYAAAAATTGGTCTATTTAGTTTGAGGACTTAATTCAGGCAATTTGACTTGGAGGTGAATGTCGTGTCTAATTTRTTTATATTTGTATGATAAKTTATGCGAGCATGCGTGTTAGGATGMCACGAGTTTTCTAGAACCAATGTAAAATTTCACCGTGGAATAGTCTAAAATCAAGTTTCTTTAAGTTACAAGACTTGTATTTCAAAGAGACACTGTGACCCAATCATGTAGAATACGCTACAGTGAACTTTGAACAATGTGATTTGCGCAAAACCACTTACTTTGGGTAATYTGACTTTTGGGCGAATTTAATGTTATTCTACAAATAGACATATCACCTTTTTTGCAGCCTGTTTTAGGATCATAGAGTCCATAACAATGGCATACACCAGTGCTGGTACACACCTTGAATAAAATATTGAAATCAATAGTGAAATCATACAAAAAATTACTTAACCATTCAATGCAAATTCACTGTAGTCAACCGACTTAAGGTAAGAATGCCTATCTAACGCAAAATATCGATTATTCATACATTATGAATCCTCGAGTTCCAAATGTTTTGAGCAAACTGATGATCATTAACTTTTTCTGGTATGTCAAATAAGTCATGCATTCTCAAAGAAACAGTAAAATTTCTGTTTCATTCCATAATTAATTTAATAAAAGTGATTAATTAAGATCGTACCCCTTGTCCGTTGCACTCTTTGCCATCAACTACAGGACATTTCTTGATATTAAGCTCAGCAAATGACTTGCATTGATATTCTTTACACATCTGTGAGTTAAGACAAAGACAATTACTCTGCTCTGCTCTGCTCTGCTCTGCTCTGCTCTGCTCTGCTCTGCTCTGCTCTGCTCTGCTCTGCTCTGCTCTGCTCTGCTCTGCTCTGCTCAGTTTTAAGCATCGTTTTTGTACCTTTCCTTTGCCGCATTTTGTACCGTCCTGAACCATTCCTTGACCAAGTGTATCCGATGTCTTAAGAACTGCCGCACTGCAACCAAGAAATAATGGTTGAGAATCAATATGATATCAAGTACGTTGCAAATACTGGAAAAAGTTGACCAGTTTAAAAGAATTTGTAAAAAACATGTAATAAATTAAACTTAAATTGAATTCACAGACAAAATTCCCTCTCACCAAGTTTGAATTTTATATTTTAGATGCMCCTTGTAAAATCAATTTAAAAAGTTTGTGAAAGCAGGTTTTGTCTTTAAATTGACTAACTTACAGAATCTGCAAATTGATCAACTTTTCCAGTTGATCCAGTTTTCCAGTCCCTACCTGCATTTTGAATCGTCAAGAGTGAAAGATTTGTAACTTTTACCATAGTCGACCTTCACCGGTATTTTACTTGCAGAATCGCACTGGATTTGACCACACAATACATCTCTGAAAAATGGAGAATATATTCATCAAAACACTTTGTCATCAATTGTCAGCTGTTCGAAGAGGTGCATAGTTAAAGTGCATATGACACGAGTTTTTTTATTTGAAAATTAGAGTCAATAGAACAAGCATAACAGGTTGGCTAATTACCACTTGATGCAGGGCTTCAAATTTCAGAGAAAATCGGAGTTAAAAAGCCATTATGCTAATTTGATGACGTCAATGTGGTTGCTCTAAAACATTTCAACTGTGTTTTGTAACAAGTGTTCCTAATATACTCATGTCAAACTTTGAAAGATTGTTTTGAATTACATAGCAAATATCTTCTACAAAACAATAAGGTGACAAAAAACAATCGGACAATTTTGTATAATTAATGAGTTACACTTTGACGTCATCAAATTAGCATAAAATCCATTTTTCTCTGAAATTAGAAACCTGCATCCAGTGGCACTTTACAGAACTATTATTTTCTTCATATTAATTTTATTTTCAAAACAAAAAAAATCATGTCATATGCACTTTAACATCCACACGACTTTAAATTTGCCCACGTGCACCCAGGAATCTTTGCAATTGTTTGTTTTGTTTTACAAATGATCTCTTTTTGAACGTTGTTTTTTTATTATTTTTCGATGCAAAAATCGTTCTATGATTCACGTTTTTGTACCTTCCTTTAATCCGTTATATACAGAATATTTGAAGGGATTTTGAGTTCACTTTAGCATTAGTTATTCCATATCGCGCACATTTTGTATATTTTTGTTTGCGCGCGCATTTTTGGTCATATTTTAGAATGAARCRTAGTTTTGTCAACTTTTATAAATAAGATTAACATCCATACACGACCTACAAATATCTTGTTGATTTTATCTTCTAGGACTCATTAGAACGATTTCACATAACCGGATAAAAAATGCTAATGAGGATCAATTTATGCCAGTACACATTACACGATTTTACACGTGGAACAATGAGGATATTGATGAAWGCTTACCTTATTTGACGTACAGATATGTGTCTAGTTTTTGCAAACAAGGACAACAATTTGATWCAAGCTTYTCTYATCGTGTAAT